ATAAAAACCAAAGAAACGGCAAAAAGCAAAAAAATAAAAAACGCGGGAACTGAACTCGTGACCTTTGGCCTATTATTCCCAGCACCTTACCCCTACACCACCGGACCGGCGGAGGGGGCCCTTGGGGAGGCTTGAAGAGCTCGCGCCTGCGCGCCCCGGTTCTGGCCAGGCTCGCTGCGAATTCTACGTGGGTTTTCCATACAAAATCTTAAAATTAAAAAGTTTATTAAACAAAAGTGCCCATTAGCAGATAATTTTTATCGTATCGTGTTCCCCGTATTTTATTCGATTTTTCCACCAATTTCAGCCGGTTTGGAGCTTGTGACCTGACAACCTCTACATGTTAGGTGCTAGAAAAAGCCTCTAGTCTTGAATTTTTCTCCTTTAGGTTTGAAATTTCAACCCCTAGGTTCGAGATGACGAACCAACCGAGACGGGCGGTAGACCTCAGAAGACTTCGAGGCAAACGAAGGGATCACAAAAATTCAGAGACGTCTCGGGTGGGCAGAGGCCGAGCGTGGAGACGATGTCCGTTTTTCCCGGGATGCGAGGGGCCGAGGGGGTGAGAGTGGGGGAAATAGAGAGGGTGTAGAGACATTGCCGAGTAGAGAGGTCCATTATATGGGCTGTAGCCGGGCCGGCAGACCGCCCTTTTTGATCGACTACCACCACCGACCAACGGAAGAGGTATCGAATTTGGGCCACTGGCGGAAATGAGCTTTCCTGGTGGTCGTTGGACTAGGGATTAAATGAGTTTTTAGGCTTATGAGGAGAACACCTGGAGTGAAAAAGTAGTCAATTTCACCATCGGCCAAAATTCTTAAAAAACGGGATTTGTTAGAAATTTAAAAGTTTAGGAAGTTGATTTAAATCAGTTATTTATTTTTTTTCTTTGCAAAGGGCTTCTTCCTAATGGCCTAGTTTTACTAAAGACCTCAGCTAAATGACTTTTAGAAATCCCACACATTTTGATTAGCCATACAAAAATTAGATTTTTCGAGCGAACTTCAAAAATCTAAACATTTTCCAAGTTTTATAAATGTTTTCCAATTTATATATTACTAAATTTTACTAAAAACACCAGCTAAATTACTTGGATTTTTAGTTCATCTTCTGAGAAGCAATCCCCAAAATAATCAATTTCACACGCTCAAAAAATTCCCGAAAAGAACGGGGAGGCGCCACAATTTCCCGCGGAAAAAGCTAAATTGGTGCCCCGGGCAACTGGCAAGCGGTAATGCGATTGGATGCCCTTGCAGGCCCTCAGCGAAAAAGAGCAGAAGTGGCCCCCGGCCACTTGGCCCTGATCCAGAAATAGCCATTAACGCTTGGGATTATCTAGGGGATTTTGAATCTCGTTTTCGCGATTTTGACGGATTAGGGGCCGGGTTTTCGGGGTTTGAAAATAATAAAAAGGAATCGAGGGATGAAAAATAGTGGAAAAATAGAGGAATTTCCAAAGATCGAGATATATGGGCATTTGCCTAAAAAGTCTTCTAGAGTGTTTTTACTGCTTCTAAACGACGAAAATTTACAAAATTTGTTAAAAAATACAGAAATGCTGGTTGTTTTGCGAACAACCATGATCGCCGAGTCAACTAAAATTCCGTGCTAGATTTTTGGTTGTTTCCTACTGCAAATAGTAGTTAAATTTGAGTAAAGCACTATTAAAATATTCGCTATTCAGTTACTAGGAATTTCTGGCACTTATAGGAAAAACTTTAAAATTCGTAAAAATCAAAACAAAAAATTCCTTATAAAACAGTATTTTTCAAAAACAAATGCAACAATGGAGATTATTTATAGACACTAGTGGCTTATTTATACGACAAGGAATTGTATAAGCGATCGGCTGGCTGTCTAGCCATTTTTTTGGTGTCCGGGAAAAAGTGAAACGAAACGAATCGATGTGAATCGAGGGCTGGACAGGCGCCGTTTGGCCCATCTGTCTGTCTGTGTCTGTCTGTTCGTCTGTCCCTCTTCGCCCCATTCTCTCAACGGACAAAAAGTATCTAGACCAGGCGCACGTAGCCAAGCCGGCGGACTTCAGAGTCCGAAAAATCAGCAAAAATGCAAAAGTTAATCCAGAAACCCATATTTATTTTCTGAACCAGATCTACGCTTAAAACCAGTAATTGTGGCTTTAAATGGATTAATAAAACTGCAAGTAAAGCTACAAATAAGAAGCCAAAAGCTAGGAAAAGCTTCAGAAAAATTATGATTTTTGAGTATTTTTGAATTGCTAAAAGTTACAAATTCAAAAATTTTACATTTTGGATATTTTATACTTTTTAACGGTTTCTTATATTAAAAATTGCGTAAATTGTGTAAGGTGGTATTAAAATGGTTTATATTTCGTTATACGTGATTACTTGGGAAAAATTTTGTTCCCCGATAGCAGCCCAACCAAGAAGCGTTCTGCGGCTAAAATTTAGACTTGAAAAACGTGAAATTGGATGAAAATCTAATTGCAATTATTAAAAGAAGAGGCTTTTGAAAAACTTTTCTGAAACAAAGTAGGCAAACTTTTCAAAGAAAACGAAAAGCTTCTCAAGCGAAAACTGATAAAATTAATGGCCAGGGGGCATCGATGTTTGCAGAGCGTGAGATGTGCCCTCGAGGATGGTTTTGGCTGATGGCCAGTGATGGCAGATAAAAGGGCAAAAGACCGCAAAGGACGGGCTATGCGTCAATGGGCATTAAGGCCTTAGTACATCGAACAGCTGGCTAACCTGAGGAAAAGCTTTGAAAGAAACCGGAACGTATAGACAAGGCCGGGCAGGTTGGCTGGGGTTTCTTTGTGGAATCAATCGATTTGCGGTCTTAAAATTCGATTGGATTTATTTGGAAATAACAAGAAAATTTAAGAATGTCTATAAGTATTAGAAACTAAAGAAAAGAAATAAAAGCTGCTGTAGAAAATCAACAGATTTTCATTAGGATATATCGGGCGCTTCATAAGTTTCATAGTGGATTTCTTTAAAAAATGTCCTGAAAAGTGCGGAAAAAGCCTAAAAAATGCGCCCATTTGCTCGATGAGGTTTAGCGGTTTTCCCCCAGCGGCATCCCTCCTTCGTGACGCGATTTTCATCCGGGTCCGAAGGCCATCCCTCAATCCCCAGCTTAGCTTAAGTGGCTCCCTCTGCCTCAGCCAAACCGAAAAAAGAAAAAAAGGGGAACGGGCCCACGGACAACACTCTCCAAAATCCCCAGGGCTCGGGTTTGCAAAGTGAACTCGGTTTCACTCCTTGAAAGTCTTAAAATGTTCAAAAAAAGCCGTCGCTAGCGCGTCGCCCACGTTGTTGCTCATGAGCTTTATACGAGAAAAAAACTGGCGTTAATCTGGGAAATTTTCAAGAAATTGGAGCTTCCGGAAACGCTGTGTTTTAAGGTTAAAGCATGAAATTATTTTTTTTTTGGACGAAACGTTACATCCGATACAGCCCCGCTTAGAAAAGTCGCAATTTTGTAATCCGAAAAACGCTGAAAACTCGAAGCAAAACGTGAGGGCTGCACGTTCATCGCGCAGCGAAAAGTTTGCGAAGTCATTTTTCTGGGTGGGCCAGCCACTGTTCTATTCGCAACGAATTTTCGAGGGAACCGCATCGTCCACTCGCTGCTGCTCGAAGCCAATAATGAGTCAGTCGGGTAAATAATAAAAACGGCAAAATTTAGGTTTTCCACGCTTTCAAAGGGAAAAGACAAAATTTGGCACGATTCGTAGGGTATAGTTTGCTGTAACAAGGACGGCATAATAATAATAAAAATATGCTAAATTAAGTTATCACATCAGGAAGTCTGTTCAATCGAAATCACGCTTGAAAACAACGAATAGAAAGCAGGAATAAATAATATTCAAAATAAAAATCAAAACAAGCACTAGTCGCCAAAAGCAGCTAGTAGCCATCCATAGATCAGGGGGAATTCCACCACCCCGGGGGCACGTGCCTTCAAGGGTCGTAAAAGGGAGGGCAAGAGGAGAGAGAGAGAAAGAGAGAGAGAGAGAGACAGAGGGAGGAGAGAGAGAGGAGAGAGAGAGAGAGAGACCGAGATACAACGAGATTTCACCACAAAAGCCGTGGGAATCGGCTGAAAGTTTGGGCTGTCGGGACAGTTTTCAGTCTGTCCGCGACAATACAGAGAACGCTCGCCCCACACAACACTGATACGCTACACATTGCACCGCCCCCGGGTTGCCACTGTTTTTGCAAAGTGTTTCGAAGCGGAAAATCTTTTATTAGGACACTAGTTTATCACAAATTAAATGTACAAAGCGTATTTTGAGAGAACTTTGGCGTGGTGTTGAATGACAATAGCGGAAATCCGTAAATTTGATAGGGGGTTGAGCGAGGTGCGAAATGGAGAACAGAAAGAAAGGTATGTCGTGACATTAAAGGGATAGGAAAGGCATGACTATGGATTTTTTATAGATTTTGCCGCGAGCGTGATACGCAGCGCGGGCGCGCAGTCATCGAGGAGAAACAACCGATTACGCAATGAAAATACTAGGGCGCGTTGCGTGTCGCCCCGCGGCCAAGGAAAAAATAGTTATGGTTTAAAGGATAAAATTCATTTTTTTCGTTTGTGACCGCGAAAGTTAAAGAAATGGTTATAAATGTTCAATAGTGTTCGCTGAGCCGGCAATACGCAACGCGTGCCGATTTCTCGCGTTGCGGCGTGGCTAAATTCTTGGCCAACAAGCGCGACATGCAACGCGGACCAAAATGCGTGAATCGTTTAACCATCCGGAAAAGACGATCTTACATTACGCAATGGAAAACCAGAGGCGTTGCGTATCGCGGCACGGCAAAATCGATTGGAAATCTATATCCCATAAATCCATGCTCATGCCTTGTCGATCCCTTTAAACCGAACACCCAGTCTTGCTATGCACAAATCGTGGTTGTCCTTGGATGTGGAGGAACAACGTCGGCGAGGCGAACGATTCCACGGTGTTCACCACATTCATACAGCGAACACCCGGGAATTCGGGCAGTTCACACATTTCGGGGCCCTAGAAGAAGCCGTTTATTGAGGAAGGAAAATCGCAACCTTGCAAGTGGCGTGTGCCTGGCCATTGTCGAAGATGCGATCGTAGCATTTTTCTATCGGCGGGTAGTAGATCGAGAATTTTTGGTAGACACTCGTAGATTTCAGAGAGTTCGCCGGTGATCTCGCTAGAATACGTTACGGTTTTATTTTTGTTTTAATAGAGATGCTTTAAAAAATATAACTTTTAACGAGCAGAATAACGTTTGTATAAGTTATATTTCATCACTTATATTATTTTTAAGCTCGTATAATTAAAGTTTAACATTTTATAAAAAGCTATATAGCTTTTCTAAGGTATAAATTTTTATATAAATTGATTGATCCTTAATTCCATAAGCACCAAGTGATAGAACTGACCTAAACCCTTCCTGGATATGTTCCAAATCATGTTCGGTGAAGAGTGGACGATGCGAACGTCGGTTTTTCGGGCTTTGAAGTAGCGGATCGTAGACGGGGATTCTTGAGTCTTCCACCGAGAGTTTCGACTAAACGTTGTCTACTTTTAACACTAGTTTTTAGAGTCAATTAACCCTATAATCCAAAAAATCACTTTCCCTATAATTTTTTTGCAAAATCACTGTAGAATTTTACATTTTTAATCATGATTTCGGAGAAAGTAGCAGCTATTTATAGGTTTGGACTATGTTGTCGCATAGAAAATTGTTTTTTTTTCTTTGCCTTATAGTTCGGTTTAAAGGAAGGCGAGAGACTATGAAAACTGACTAAACTATAAGCTACAAAAAACGGAATTATCATCGAGGTATCTCATACCAAATTTAACCTACAAAATTCCAGAATCGCAGATGCAGCGCGCAGTTCAACTCGACGGGCAGAGTTATCTGGAGAAATCACACTGTAAAAATAGTAATTTCATTTATGGTACCTGCTCATATCCATCGCGTATCCCATACGACCTATGGATCCACACCGAGTCCGTTCGCTCTGGCCTTACCACCAGCTTCCCCCAGCGCGTTTCCCCGCGAAATCGGATGCTCCGCAGGCTCCTCTCCACGGAAAAACGTTCGGGGTTGTTTGCTGGAAATATTTCAAACTTTTAAAATTTTCTCTTATTTTAACGATATCGGACTCTTATTTGTGGGGGTTTTAGGATTTTGGGTTTTTTTTTTTTTTTTAGTATTTTTTTATTGCTAGACTTTTATAAAAATCTTTTAAAAATCGGCAACATTCTAAATACGTAACTTCTAAATTTTTTATAATTATTTTGTTTTTAGATATAAAAATTGTGGAAAATAATATAAAAATATTTATTCCTTGTTCTAGGATTTACTTAGAAAAATTTCGTCCCCCCCCCCCCCGCCCCGCTAACAGTCCAGTACCATTTTAACTTACTTGCGTGTATTTCCGTTTGGCTCATATTATAAGCAATAGCCGCGGCTTCCGGAAATAGCGCAAATACCTGCGCGAATTCCTAAAGAGCCCTATTTGCGTAATCTTTTAGCCTTTCCTACCGAATGATAGGTCCCATCGAGTCTGGGAATAATAATGTCATCCGGATCTGGGAACATGATGAATTGCGCTGATTCCTTGAGGTATTGAGATTTAATTCAAGTATTAACTATACCTTATACATCAACAAACAATCCGTCATTGCGCCTGCCTGATTTCTAAACACAATTTAGTAAAAAAAGGAATATTTTACCGAAATTCCAGCTCCAAATCCGGCTTGAAATCCGGGCCGCTGGCTGATGAATTGCCAAGTCGTATGCCGGCCCATGGTGTCACTCGGATATCATCGTAGTTCTAGAATTTGACAGTTAAACCACGAATTTTAATTGAGTTTAGGATACGAAAAAACCTAAGCTGAAGCCAAACCTAAGCCTAAGCCAAGCCCAAGCCTAAGCCAAGTCTAAGCCTAAGCCTAATTTAAGCCTATGCCTATCCTAAGCCAAGCCTAAGAGATAAAATTGTTATTAACGAGAAAGCTATAATAAAAAGCACAAGCAATAATGCACCTTTGTGACTTAATTTCTGTTCCGCTTAAAACTTTACTGAAGCAAATGATACCTTGCCACATTACCTCGAGCAGATCGAACAAATCCGCAATCATACTCCGCACGTAGAAGTGGAGAAAGGCCCCGTAGTGTGTATATACCGAAAAAATGGAGTAGCCTTTAGAGGAACCCAAAAAAAACGCTCGATAAAGCTACAAGAAAGAATAAACTCTTTTAAAAAGGTAACGTGGTGTTAAGAAATCGGAAAATTTCAAGCAAAAATGGTCATGAAATTTATGCTTTTCTTGCTTTAGGCTAATAATCATACCTGCGCGGTAAGAAGCAAAAGCTGCCAGCGCTCGTTGAGAAAAAGTGGCGAGAAGCAGCTGACAACCGGATGCTTTTCTGCGTATGGGAGGCGAGTTGGTAGCTAAAAACGATGAAATATACAAAAACTCATATTTCTTCATATCGCTATCCCTTACCTCGACCTCCGTTCCACCCCATAACAATCGGACGCTCGTCGCTGACTCGGCCACCTGAAAAAAGGGTTATAAAATCTAGTAAAATCAGCTTACCTGGCCAATTGCGATAAATGGGACCCATTTACAGTAGAAGGGCATTTGCCCGATGACTGGCATCACTCTGGAATGTGTTTTTAGTACTGGACTTTTAAGAGCGGCGGGGTAACTTTGGCCTATCACCCCGTATGACATCAGTGCTGAAATAAAACCCATTTAGATAGCTTTTCAAGGCAGTTTTTAAGTTGAAAAATTTATAAAAATTCTTAAAACTCTTAAAAACACGATATTGGTTCGAAATGTCTGAGAATGCTGAGAAACATTTTCAAAACTTCAGAAAAAATGCTATGGCTTTTATGGCTCTTTATGAAACAAACACCACTAAAAACTATAAAAATGCAGCACAATACGCAAATTTTTGCTAAATAGCTTCCCTCCGCTAACAGTCCAGTACCAGTAGTTTTATAGCTTGCGAACCTGAGCGTCGTCTGCGTACTGCCCGACGAATTTGTGGATATGGCCCGGAAGGCAGAATGTTTGTAGTGGAAGACTTGATGCGCAACAAAAAGCATCACGATCGTGTTATTTGCAAAACTATAAGAAATTGAAAAGTTAAAAAGCTAAAAAAGTTACCTTTTTGATCTGTTATACATGGTCGTTGATAGTAGCGCAACGTCGTCTTCTAAAAAGTGCAGTTCTGAAGCTAAAAAATTTCTACGAACGTCGCTGGACGTAGTGATAGACGATATGATTGTGCTGACGGTCAAAAACGGAAAGTGCGGTCAGGGCGGAGAAAATGAAGAGGCAACCGGTGAAAACCGCTGACCAGGCCGCGACTCTGCTCAGTCTTCTGCCTAAAAAGTTTTACAAAACCTTTTTAGGTTTTTTCGCATTAACGGGGTGGGGGCAAGGATAAGCAAATTTTTTTATTAATCTAGAAATGCCGAAGTGCCTAGTAACTTAATGGGAAGCATGTTCATAATGTTTTTAGCGAAACGAAAAAAATTGCAAAACGGCGAATTTTGGTCGAACAATCGCGGTGTTTGTATTTTTTAGAAAAAGTATCAAGTTTGACGTTTATAAATAGTAAAAAACCATGTAGCAACATTTCCACTATCCATATTTGCAAAAAAAAATGAGAAGAAAAGAAATTTGGTCCCCCGCCCCCCGATAATGCGAAAGAACCAGAAAATGCTACCATGAAAACTGTCTAATTGTCTAAATTCCAAAAATTAAAAAAGCTTAAAGGGATAGGGGCGGCATAATGCAATCGATTACGCGCGGGAAAGAAAATGTCTCTGCGCCTCTCCCCTGGGCGCGCTCTCGCCTGTTGGCTACTGCCAATTTGTTGATGGGGGATCGACACATGCCGTCGGCAGCCCTTTAAACGTACCTCCAACAAATATCCGCAACCGCAGCTGCCATGCAGGCAAATTGGCCATCAGCTCTTCGTCCTCCTCGTTGGCGTCCAGTTGCGCTGCTTGGTGATGAGGGCCCAGCCGGAAAGTGCCCACACGCCTTCTTGCCGTGAAAATAACGAATTGCCGAGATGAAACAGGGTGCTCACGTCACAGGGGCTGGGGGTGAACCTTTTTGGCTGGCCTGGGAGCTCGAGGTGCACGACGATTTTTGCGATTCGGTGGGTAGATAGGGGGTGAACAGGCCACGACATTCATTCCACCACACACATCTCAACACGGCGGGAGGAGACCGCAAAGCTGAGCCCCCGAAAATGAAAGTGTACACCCATTTTTCCTGGCAAAGCGCGTCATGTCTTTTTAAAACCACAAAAAAACCTTCTATTTCTTCCAACAAGCATCCAGATATGATACAAATACAACAAACGCCCAAATGATTATTAGCAGTAGAGACTAGGCAGGAGGGAGGCACGATGCGAATGGGATCTTCTACCGGCAACAATTCGAAGTATATTATGAGCATCCTACGAGTACCGGTGCTGGACTAGTTTTGAAAGAATGCAAGAGCTAATAAGGCGAAATAAAAAAATAACTAGAAAAAGACTGGAGATGTTTTAGTCTTGTTGGGTGGGTCGGTAGTGGGTCGGGTGATCGCTGCTGACCATCGGCAGGTTGGGGGAGTGCAGATTCAGCCGCACCTGGAAGAGAATATTTTGAAATTGTGAGCAGAAAAATACCGGGAATTTCTTGCCGGCAATGTCGAGTTCATAGCGTCCCTTCAGCACGTATTCGGGGGTGACGCCGAACTCCTTGTTCTCGACGACGGCAATACATACCTAGAAAATTGAAAAATTTATCGGAATTTAAACGCTTCATACCTGACAGCCCAGGGTGAAGCCGTACGCAGCACTTGTCGTGTAGCCGACCGGCTTTCCATCTCTAGAATGTGGGATAAATGAGGGCTAGTGAGAGATAGAGGGAGAGCGAGAGAGGGTACCACGACACTTGCGCCGGCGACACTGCGCCGCGACCACATGCGCCGCGACACTTGCGCCCGACACTTGCGCCGCGTCACTTGCGCCGCGACACTTGCGCCTGACATTTGCGCCGCGACACTTGCGCCGCGATACCGAGTTTCAGCTACTTGAAGATGCAATTTTTCGCGCGGAGTATTCCGGTTAAAGAAACGATAGAAAGATGTTTTGCGCTAGGAGTCACTCGATTTGGAAGGAAGGTAATTGCTACTTCTTCCGCTCTGCGACTAGAAAAAGGCTTCGTGCCACCCGGGGCCTAGTCGCTTCGGATGGGTGCGAGCTCGTACAGGGTTTTCGAGATCAGGGCGCCCGAGGCGCGCGTAGCGGCCAGGCGCCCCGATTTCGAAAGAGTGGAGCGGCAGCCCATCCGAAGCGACGGCCCACCTTGCCTGACGCCTTTAGGAACGCTCCGAATTGGCGTTACTCACTTTCTGTCAGCTTTTAATGCAAAATACAGTAATTACATACAAAATTCGCGCGAAATACCAAATTCACTACAGTTTAAATCAATATACGATCCGCGGCGCAAGTGTCGGGCGCAAGTGTCGCGGCGCAAATCTCGCGGCGCAAGTGTCCGCGGCGCAAGTGTCGGGCGCAAGTGTCGCGGCGCATGTGTCGCGGCGCAAGTGTCGCGGCGCAAGTGTCGCGGCGCAAGTGTCCGCGGCGCAAGTGTCGGGGAGCCCGAGAGAGAGCGAGTGAGAGAGAAAGCGGAAATCCGTACCTGAAAAGCGTTTCCCCTCCCTGCGGCCACGGATCCGTCTCCATATCATGGCGATCGACGAGCAGCTGCACGAAGCGCTTGTTCACGCCGCGTTCGCGTTGCTCGACTAGGGCAGCGCGGCCGATGAAGTCTTTCTAAAATGAAGATTTTATATATTTAAACCACTTAATGATTTTTTAAGTTTTTAAAGGGCAACTATGATTTTACGGCTAAGCCTAAGCTTCCAGCAAAGCTTAAGCGAAGCCTAAAACTAAGCCTCGGTGCAAACCCCCCGCCAACTTCAATAGCTCCTCCCGTTAAGCTGTGGATCGAAAAGTTAAGACTACAAACTGCGATTTTATCAGGCTGCAATATCGGTTTGTACAAATCTATTTTTGTGCTTTACATATGTCCACTCCGATATTTATATTTATCTATTTATTTGCCCGTATATACCGCTCATTTTCGCACAATATATCAATGTTAAAACTTCAGAGAACAATTTGGCAATGACTCACTCACTACGAGGTTGACCTATGCACCCAAAATACAATGTATTCCGGAAAAACCCCGTCCAGCCACGGCTTCTCGGCAAATACATAGCATTCAGTCATGTATGGTTAGGCCCGAACAGCCAGCCATAAAATCGCCTCCCCCTAATACAAATAGGCCATTTTCTACGCGCCGAATACACTCACGCCGCCCCGATAATTGACTCTACAAAAAAATACGGGTCACCCCTGCTGACGGTTTACCCCCTTCTCTACGATCAATGCAAATAGAGCGGACGCTCTTTTGACCGTTGTGTTTTCACAGAGCGGATGACTGACGGTCGTCGGGCGGCCAGGAAAATAATTGCGAGGCCCGGGCCACTTTCGCCTATTTCACGTCCCGTTGTGTACACGCGCGAGCGTGGGTGACGAATTTAATTTACCGTATTAACGATGAAATTCGCTTAACAATCCATTTTCCGAGAATTACCAGTATCATATTGTTAACGTAGCCTAACATGATTTCTATGGCAATTTAGTCTTATATATCTTCTACGTATTAACCTAATTTCCGGCCACGATTTTTCGGTTCTTTGGTATTATCGTGGGGAGGGACTAACTTTTTCTAAGGATCCAATTTTTCAAATCTAAATAAATACAAAAATTCCGCCCCCGATAATGCGAAAGAACCGATTTTCCAGTTATTTCACCGAGTGACAAGCCCCCGGCGTCTGCTAAAATAATTATTTTGTCAATTAAGGCGCGTTCAGGTCATCCTAGGGGTCTCCCGTCACTTCCGCTCCATTTTTTCCAGCCATTTCCTAGGTTGATAAGCCGCTTCTGCCCCTTTTCATCACCCAGCAAAAACCCTCTACCATTTTGCCAGGCCAATAAACGCGGTCATATGCCCTTTACGGCCCTTGGAATTCGGCTATTTATTCGCGGGGTATTGCCCGTGATTCAGGGTCACACGCAAAACATTTCCCAGCACTGATTTCAGCTTGACCGGTTTTCATTTTTTCCTTATAGTTTAATTTCGTCCATTTCTAGACAGATTTACAGTTTTCCATTCATTTTAAGATGAGATTCCTGGCGCTTTTGCTGAGCCTATTTGTGCTGATGGTTTCCGTGCCGCTGGCGGTAAGTGGGGTGGTTTCTAGGCGTTAGCGTGAACGGAATGACCGGAATCGTAAAAAGATATAGTTAGGGACTTTAGCATTATCGGGGGGATACCGAAATTTTGTAAAACTTCAAGACTATGGGTCAAAAAAGATCCATTCCGTCGATCATTTTTTAAACTCTTCTAATTCTATAATAATAATTTGTCAAGTTTTTATGTTTAAAAATACTAGAAAAGAGTATATAAATACGCTAATTAAAATCTGGGAACCCGCGGAAGAGCTTTTGTCCCCCTCGATAATGCAAAAGCACCAAAACCAAAAAAAACTTTAAGCCTCTCAATTCGAAATTTGATAAAATCATAAAATCATTGCAAAATTCTAGGCCGGCTTCAACGTCCCGCCAACCGGAATGTGCCTCGTCAATCAAGGTGGTGACTGCTACCGTTGTGAGTGCCAGAAGCCGTCATTCTGCGTGAAGGGAAAGTGCAAATAAGCACGCCTTCGAATTTGTTGCGTTATCGATTACCGGGCATAATAAACGGCTTTAATCTGTACGCTACAATCCGCGCGAAAAAACGCAACAAATAATAATCTAAAAGCTACAGTATGCCGAAAAAATGGGTATTTTTGGTAGCATTACGTTTCACTGCCCAAAACCGGTCGTAATTATCTTTCCCAACTATCCAAAACTCGCAAAATACGAGTTCCGCCACGCTCACAGATCACAATTGCCTATATTTTCAAGCGGGGAGCACGAGAATAAAAAATCCGAAAGCAGAGACCCTCAAGTAAACATAGCAAATGTATGTTTTGTAACGTTAGCTTTCACAACGTCTCCTTAAAACGAGAACTAAGAAAATACGCTTTCCACCGCTCTCACAGATCACAATTGCCTACATTTTCTAGCCGAGCGCCCCGGAGCAAAAAATCACGAGCGTTATATATCGGTAATGTTTGTAACATGACATTTCTATTACAAAACCTGTCCTAATTATCGTTCCCAACTATCAAAAAACTACAAAAATACGATTTCTACCCCCCCCCCCGCCACAGATCACAATTGCCTACATTTTCTAGCCGTGAGCGCGGCGAGTGTGCACAGAAATCACGCATGCCGCCTGGGCTCTCCCCGAAAAAACCGCACTCTCTCCCGAACATCAGCCGAGCTCTGGCTGGTCCTCTTTTCGCCCCGCAAAATATGGCGAGCGAATGAAGGGCAAAATGCGACTCCTTTTTCTCTATTCCTTCTTCCACATCCCCCTTATCGCTTCCTCTCTACTGCAAGAACACGCCACACTCTCGCCAATCCCAACCAATCAACCCCACAAATTTCCAATACATTTTTCACCTTCTAGAATCGTTATCGGAGGGATCTTTCGCATTATCGGGGGCACCCACGTTTTTTCTTCGGAGCTAATTTTCACTTATAAATAGTGAAAGTGTTTCTAAATGGTTTTTTATTATTCCTAAACGTGAAAGCTATACAAAATTTGTTCAAAAAGGGATCAAAAATATCGATATTTCGACCAAAAAAGGCCGATTTTCCCCAAAATTTGGCCACACCAAAACGTTTTAGATAGTTTTCTAGTTGAAATATAGTTAATTTAACGTTCAATTTTTTTAAAGTTCGCCCCCCCCGATAATGCGAAAGAACCCGCCGAGCACTTAAACGAATTGCTATAAAAAGTGCGGCGTTGCTTTTTCGTGCTCTTGTCCTGGGGTTGGGATGGCCTAGTTTCTATCGATTCCTCAGGCGCAGGAAGATACTAATCTACGGGGTAGCGCTAGCCGGTCGTCAGCATTTATGGATTTTCTAGTCTGGTTACCGGCTAAAATATATTTGTATGACTGTTAAATCCTTGATGATACTTTTTTATTGTAAAAAAACTCTAGGGGTAGTATTCATGGATTTTTCAGGATAAACAAATCAAATTAAATTTACAAAATAAATAAACAAAAACGCTAGGTCGAACTAAAAAAGCTTTACTTAGACTCATGGATTACGGTCTACGTGGTTATAATTTAATTTAATCACCAAATAAAACGATTAGGTTGAACTACAGCACTGGCGCTTATTTTAGTCCTTAAAAAGAATTCCCATTGATCTCTACGTTACTTGCAATGATAATTTTGTCAATTGCAATTTCTACTTTACTTACGGTTAAGAAAAACAAACAACTATTTTCGTTTTTGTTTGCTAAGGTTGTTTTAGGGTTACCAAACTCCGTGACAAAAAGTCGTTCAAAACCTTGCGAAAAACGCCCCGTTAATTCCCCGGCTACAAAACTAGAGCGTGTAGTCCGGATCCCGGTCATTTCCCCTCCAAAACGGCACGAAATTGCAGAAGAGAATTGGTCGATGCCCCACCTAACCCCGTTTTTCTTTATCTTTCTTTCTCTCTCTCTTTCTCTCTCTCTCTCTCTCTCTCTCTCTCTCTCTCTACCGGACCTTATCATCCGGGTGTGGGTTGTGAGGGGGGAAAGTGTTAGTCGTGTAGTCTGGGCCCTAGAATGTCTAGATCCACTCCCCTTCCCGCACACATTGATTCGTTTTCTTCTCTTATTTGTTTTGCAGTGGCATTACTTTGCTAGAATCTAGAATACCTTTTAATAAAAATTAACTCCCGCCACGATCCTGGGCAATCCCGAAAATTTCTAAATTTCTGAAAATCAAAAATTGATTCGTTCCGGCCAACTTCTTTTTTGTGGTTTCCTGGAAAATGGAAAAAAGTGTATTTTTTTTCGAAAACTACTCCGGCCTCTCCTTTTGACGCTTTTTTCATCTTTGAGCACCAGCTATTGTTTAATGTCCAAAATTTCTAGGTAAAAAAATGCCGCAACGATTGACGCGAAAAGAGGTGGAGGAGCACAACAGCAACCGCACCTGCTGGTTTATCATTGGCAACAAGGTGTATGATGTTACGAAGTTTTTGGACGAGGTGAGAAAATTTAAGCAGCTTGCCTTGCGTGGAAAAGCCCGTCCGGCAGATCCTAAAGTTCGTTAGAAAAAACGAAACTATTAAAAACATTCAATGCTTTCCCGAATTAAGGGGATAGCCGGTCCTCAACCACCTTTCAAAGCCCTATGCTCTCCAAATGAATACCGAAATTGTTATAGTAATTTACAGATAACATCATGGCAAACCCAGCGAAAAAAACGTCTGAAAAAGTAGTGTAACAGTTTAACTAATAGAAAAGCCGACCAAACACGTTTTAAAATGTAAGGTTTGAAACTATCTAAATTCAAAAGCCATCAAGTCAAGTTTAACTAAAGTAAAGTCCATTAAAAAAGAATTAATAAGGGAAAAAAAAATAATACGGGATAAATAAAAATTTCGTGAATCACTAACAAAAATAAATAGACTACTTTAGCATCCGGGAGGCTGCGAGGTTCTCCTCGAGCAAGCCGGCCAAGACGCAACTGAAGTTTTCGAAGATGTCGGCCATTCAACGGATGCCCGGCAAATGAAGGAGGAATATCTTATTGGAGAGCTTGTTGAGGTCGGAAATTCAAAAATAAAAATTACCCGATTTTTAGGAGGATATTCGACAATATTCATACGATAAGAAGGCGTCCACCAGTGCAGCTAATGTCCAGAAAAAGTAAGTTTCACCAGAAAGCCAGAAATAAACAAAAAAAAACCCTTCGTAGTCTCATTAAAGAGATCAAAATAGCGAAATAATACTTCCAGAGACGCCCAACCGGTCCAAGACAAACTGATTATGGGTGGACTGCTCGCCGTCATCGTCGCGTTAATCTACTATCTATTCACGGCTCATTAACCAACAACAACAAAAAAGTAATATTCCTGCCCCCGCTCAACGGTATTGTTATGCGCCAAGTGTGTTCCCCCTATCAACCAGTTAATACGATGGAAAATAAACGGATATATCTGATAGCTACAGAAATCCAAGGCGCTCGAAAATAATACCCGCGTTTCCCCTCCAGCGGTTCGTTGGAGTGCCCGATTTTTAGGATTTAGGTATCAATCGAAAGCTCACGACGAGACGAGCAGATATTTCTACAAACATTTTCGAAATGCTGACATTTTTGCGCGATTTTCACCATGTTATCGGCGGGAAGCCCGCAAAGCAAATTAAAATTATTAAAATTTTATAATTAAATATTATACCACAAAAATATGAAGCAAAATAGATTTATGTTTCAATTTAAATTTTTAAAAGAGACCGGATTTACTGGAAATTGATTCGGACCCTCTCCGTTTTACAAAAATCGTCGTAAATAGGAAAATTAGGAGAACCTTTGCGTAAAAAAATACCAAACATCTAGAAAAATTCGGAACTTTTAAAAATACGTAGAGTAGATATCTGCTCGCCGCGTCGCTAAAGCTATCGATAAATACCGAAATCGTCAAATTCCGGCGCTACTATGAATCGATAAAGCGGCGGGGGTGATTTTTTGCGACGCCCTGAAGCAGTACAAGTCCAAATTCTCTGCCCACATTGACTAGAAGCTAAAGATAAAGCGTAAGCGGTGAAAAGCGGTATTCAAAGTGATACCCGCCAGCCGCTAGCATTACTTGACAAAATCGCAGAGACTTGCCTCGCCTCCCACGGAGTGCTGAAAAACGACAAATTTTGGAATGCTTTTCCCGAAAGTGCCTTCAATTTTGGGACCGAAACATCAGCAAAAAGTTCTAAAACACACCTTAAAATCGACGCGGAATGCGCGGCCACACTCCATGGGTGTCACGGTGGCATTGATGTCCTGGCCCCAGTAGACGTAAAACTTTTCGATGCGCAGCTGACGCAGGGTGTAGTAACTGGAATTTACATACAGAATTTTCACAAAAATAGGTAGATTACCCAGCGTGAAGCATGCTGTATTCCTTTCCGGCTTCA